CGTCCTCCTGACCCCCACCCTGCAGATATTTAGAGGCATTTCGAAGATCCCCTCTCAGCCTTCTCTTCTCCAGGCTGAACAAGCCCAGCTCCCTCAGCCTCTCCTCGCAGGAGAGATGCTCCAGTCCCCTCCTCATCCTCGTAGCCCTAAACGCGCTGTTTGAACGCCCAGGGCAAACACAGGGTGCAAATGCAGGGTGTAAACACCCAGTTTAAATGCACGCTGCAAAGCACAGTGCAAACACACATCAGGGTGCAACGTCCAGGGTGCAAAAGTCCATTTGAAATGCAGGGTGGAAACGCAGAGTGCAAATACAGGGTGCGAATGCACAGGACAAATGCCTGGGGCACATGGAGGATGCAAATGCGCTGTTTAAACGCACAGGGCAAACACCTTGATCATATTCAGGGTGCAAATGCAGGGTCTAAATGCAGGGTGCGAATGCAGAGAGCAAATGCAGGGTGCAGATGCACAGTACAACACACACCAAGTAAATGCAGGGTGCAAATGCCCAGTTTAAATGCAGGGTGGAAATGCAGGGTGCAAATACAGGGTGCTAATGCCCGGTCTAAATACCCAGTGCAAAAACATGGTGCAAATGCACAGTCGAAATGCCTGGGGCACATGTGGGGTGGAAACGCAGCGTTTAAATGCAGGGTGCAAACGCACGGTGCAAACACACATCAGGGTGCAATGTCCAGGGTGCAAATGTCCAGTTTAAATGCAGGGTGGAAACGCAGAGTGCAAACACAGGGTGCAAATGCCCGGTCTAAACGCGCTGGTTAAACGCACAGTGCAGACACTTGGTGCAAATGCAGGGTGCAGACACACGATGCAAACGCACGTTGCAAGACACATGCAGGGTGCAAAAGTCCAGTTTAAATGCAGGGTACAAATGCAGAGTGCAACACACATGAAGTAAATGCAGGGTGCAAATGCCCAGGTTAAATGCGTGGTGGTGCAAATACACGGTGCAAGTGCACAGCCTATCACAGAAAAAGAAAATCACAGAATAGTAGGGGTTGGAAGGGACCACTGTGGGTCATCCAGCCCAACCCCCTGCCCAAGCAGGGTCACC